AAAGAATGAAAAAGAAAAGTTCAACTCAAGTTACATTTTCTGCTCACTATTTGCACTAACACCAAATAGGCCACTAACTAATCATGCAAACACAATTCTGAATCCAAATTAAACACTAGGAATGCCTTTAAAAATCGGAAGTCATTAATGAGGCATTCTGACACCCACATGTCTTAATTATGACAACTGGGATCGCTTCCGGAAATATAAATACAAAACATACCATTTTACATTTTCTGCTCTCACAGCACATTTAAAGAGATGGTTGCATAAAATAAAACAACCTAATATGGAACCAGCTTTAACCATGACCAAAAAGTTACCTAATTCCCCTTCAAATGTAATATGTAGCAAGTCAGCTGTATGGCTTTGTTATGAATAAACGCGCCTTAACCTTTTTTAGGATTCTTATTGAACAAGTTGGTCTTTTAAAAGGATATTAATGTATTCACTGAGAAAACAGTTGTCTTACATTAATAGTACTGTAAGTGGTTACAGTAAGGTATTTCACTGGTTACACTAACATGGGGAACCAGACCTGGAAATAAATATGGAAAAAGACTGAAAGCCTTACTGCTCACAACACACATTGAACTGTATCCTTCATGCGCATACACTATGATTCAACAAACTCTCCTAATCACGTTCTTATGCAGCATATGATGCCATGCAAAATGTGAACTGATGCAATTAGTTAGGCTACACAATTTTTCAATCCTTGAAAATTTGACAGAATTGGTCCTAAAATCAATACAAAATGCTAAGGGAAATAATTCTTTAACAGCATACAGAAAGTAAATTAAGCAAACATCTGATTTCACAAAACAGTGCACAACATCTCCCTGTTTGGAAGGTGAACAGTATTTTTGTTCGGTTGAGTCATTTAAAATCTAACAGATCCTGAATGTTTTGGGGTGCAAAGATTAATGAGACTGTGATAATCACAGCGCCTAAGCAGTCGTCTTTGTCAGAGATGTAAAACTGTAAAACTATAAAACTGGTGCTGACTTATCCAGAGAGCTGCTAAGATCATTCACATCATCACACATGAATGCAAATGGGCTCCATGGAGCCACAAGAGTCTTGGATTTCACCACTGTGTTTTATCTATGAAGAGTCTGGAGCGATGATTCAAGATCTCACAGGTATTTGGTATTCCTCACTGGTTTTTCCAGAACGTTTGCAATTTAACTTGAAAAGATAAATAAATGCCCTGCAGTCTGAAAGCACTGTAGGATTAAGCCTGGCCTTTGTCATTAGCAACGGTGTAAGTATTACAATTACACTGAACTTCCGAATTTCAGTTCACTAGAAAATAACATAGAGATTTGGACAAAAGTAGCACAGCTGAATTTCACTCACTCAGTCTCACTACAATACACTGACAACAAATTTCCTTTTCATTTGATGATCCTGTCATTTTATGTCCAGGCTCTAATCTGTGAACATGCCAGAGGGCTATCTGACAAACATTACAGTTGCATAGCAGTAATACATGGGAGCCTGGCTGCAGGGAAGCCTGAACGTTTGGCCAGAAGTTCAACATCACTACCATTGTTGCTTTTAAAAGTGTTATGGGCTGGGTTTTATTACTTCTGTCAAAACATCAGAAGCTGTTGAGCCAGGCCAAGTTCATGACCAGGAGTCCATCTAATAAGGGGCATTTAACACAAAGATCAATAGGATATCTGGCAATTAGTATATATAGTCCAGAAAGTGAGAGACACAGAGAACTGTGTATATATGATGAAAACTGCCAGAACTGTTCAGTGTGAAGGGTCGACAGGGGGAGGGGGTTAGTGTGTGCAAAATCCGCAAAATATCGAGAAAGAAAAAAAAACAAGTGGTAAAAGGAAATTCGCGCTGCATGCGCGAGATTTAATTGACCTGATAATGCAGACGACAACAAAGTAAAAGGGTTTTTAAAAATCAATTACATGTTTGCTTTGGTCAGAATTGGACTATATCCAACACCTTTCTGTTTCCCCTACCGTATAGGTGAAGCTGTTACATGATTCCAGTACAGTTACATTTATTTAGATTTGTGTGTAGACGGTTGTGAATGTACAGTAGAGCGCGAGAGCTGTATAGCATGCGGGCTGTAAATGTAAATCTACGTTCTCACATATACAAAAATAAATTAATAAAAAAATAATAAAGTCAAATTAAAGTCAAAATAGGGGAAATAAATCTACACACAGTCAACTTGAGGTCGTTATTGATCACAACCAAAATAGCAGCTGTGTATAGATTTGAAGGGGGAAAAAAACTGACGCAATGTGCCAGCAGCGCACAGAAACGCACCAACATTTGCAGTATGGTCTATGATGTGTATATCACGAGCCAATGTGTGTATATAAAAAACGTAATCATTGTCACTTTAGTTGTGTTTTCTCATCTGGGTTTCGTTAATTTGTTCTTAAATTTTTTTCTCATGGTTAAGATCGAGTCTTAAAGTATAAAAGTAATATTTCATAAAATAAGTTGTTATAGCTCATATAATCCATGGCGGTGGATTTTTTAATTATCTGCGAAATTAATTATTATAATCAATAATAAATGAACAAATGTAGAGTAAAAAAATTAAAATCTATAAAATATTTAAAAAGAAAACGTAGGCCTGCAATTTGGCCTTATTAAACTCTATGAGAAATCCAATGATAACAACATTAAAGTGTGGGGAACAGATCAAAACAAGTAATGCTTCTTTAAAAAAATCCCACCTGTAAGAGCGATATCACATTCAACACTCACTTCACCCAAAAGCATTAGCCTATGTAAACAAACCAGAACGACTACACACTAATCGATGCAAGTCCTTTTTTGAAATACAAACATATTCCTAGACGTGGCCTTTAACGTGTGGGCTGTGTGCAATCTGCCGAGAGGAATAAATACACAGGAGGGTTAAAAATAAATGATAAAGCAGCTGCTCAATGTTGCTGGGGGCTTTCTGTATTCAGCTCAAAGGGCTGTATTTTACCTCAGCGGCAGAGAAAGAATAAAAAAATGGAGACTGGAATATTCTCCCACGCGCCGTATTCAAAAGTTGTGGGCCTGCACGTTTTGAATGTTAAGGAGAACATGATATATTTCGCTGCCTGTTCTGTTCTTCTCTACTGCCGCTGCAACACATGTGAGGCCTGTGGGCTGCAAAGGCTCCACTGCTCCGATGTGAGAGTGCTACAAAGCCAGGTATTTGTGTTCATTAGCACCCGGATCAACAGACTATCAAGGCTGTTTAGAGATCAAGACCAAGTGCAATTACTGGCAACAAGCACGATCCTCGACATGTTTAAGCATTTTCACTAAGAGGCCCAATTAGAGTTTTGCTTTTCATTTATTTTCTTCCCCCCTCTTTTCTTGTTTCCCCAGTCTTCGTCTTAAACATTTACTGGAACTTATTCACAATGCACAAATCATTAGAGAGAATGCAAAAATGTAAAAAAATAAGTGTTGGTTGTTATTCTTATTCTTTATCTGGATGCATGTGTGCTGATATTCTTACTGGAGATTTTATAATAATACGTACAGACGTTACAGTATTATTTTAATTGTATTGGGAAAAAAAGTAAGCTAATTTAAAAATCAAGACTTGTCAGGCTGTACATGAACATTTATTGAACATTTGGCCTGAAATGAAATATAAACTGTTCTATTTTTTTTTGTTGCCTGAATTATGTCTACTATAAAAATCCAGACTCGTGTTGAATTAAGGCCAATAGCTCTGGCAACTTAACAAACCTTTAAAAGGCCTGTAAACGTGCAATGAGGCATACCAAACATAAAAACAATAACAGGTATTTAAAAATATATATTTATATATATATATAACTTAGAAATAAAGAAAGACTACAAGGCATAACCTGTCCTGCCTTTTAGATTTGCGTTTTACATAAGTACAAATCGAAAGTCATTATGGATAAATTATAGTCTGAGAAACAAAGCAAACCCAAAACCATCAGGCCTACATTAATCGTCAACGTGTTAAGCAACTGTCTCTTAAATTAGCTGTGTATATAAAGCAGGTTGACCCACATCATTAGCTGCACAAAACACAGTGCATTGATGCACGAATACAAAAAAGAGACGTGGTAAACAAACGCGATCCATGAATCAACCCACCAACAATAAACAAATGTCAAACAACAAACATTGTCCATTTCCAACATCAAGGTGCTCATGTTCAAAAAAGGTGAATACATGATTTTTTTCCGTGTGACGCGAGCAGCACTCCACTTAGTAGTAGTGGTGGTATGGGCGCTTTCTTGCACAGGACGCATTATTGATTGGCATTCCCTGGAGGAGGAACCAGCATGCAGCAGTCCGCAGGGCCCAGGACCAAAATAAGTTACCGGAGAGAGAGAGAGACTCTGCGGTTCAAGCAGGACCCACTTGAAAAAATAATTAAAATATTGCACTTCTGACTGAATTCCCATTTTTTGGCGTCTCCGTTTGCATCGAGGGGAAGAGTGCGCTGTACTGCGCTGTACGTACTCGCTGTGTGAGCTGAACAGCAGCAGCTCGTAGCAGAGCAGTGCCACAGCGCCCACTATTTCAAAAGCCGGGAATATGATTTCACAAGACTATGTACGGCTCCATAAAAAAGTTACTATCCTTTTCAACAACTTTCTGGGTAACTTACGGGAAACGAATCTGCGCTTCTACTTAAACTGCGACACCAAAAAAACAAAAAAACGAGGTAACAGTTTATGTCTGAAGAGGAATCAGCGAAAGAACCAGCGGCGTTTATCATTACACATGAAACTTTGTGACACCGGGAACAACCAAAGCCAAGTCCGCAGTATGCAAGGAAACGAGAGCGCGTGTAGCCGGAGCGGGGCACATTTTTAGCAGAAAAGTTTACTCTGGACAATGAGAAACTCCCTCGTTTAAGGATATGACAAATGACAAGGACACACCGGGCATGTACACACGCTGAGTTTGGGACCGGCGGCGGAAAACGGTAGGCTAAAAAAAGAGGAAGAAAGAAGACCTACTTTTCGCCAGTTTTCTCGCCCTCGCCTTGGATCTCATCTTGTTGGCTTGTAGATTCCTTTCGTCGTCCTCCGTGAGCCCAGAAGCTGCAACAACACTATCTTCATCTCACCAGCATTGTCAGTTTGGACACCTTCGCACATGCGCACAGGCCATTCAATCTGACACCCGCGCCGGGGCCAAAAAACTTTCCAATGTATTCATCATCATCACTTTTTTTGTCCTATCGTCTCCCCTTTAGATCACTTATCTCTTCCCCTCCTCCTCTTCCTCCTCCTCCTGCTCTCCCCTCACCAGTTCACCTTCCCTTCCTCCCCCCCTTCGCCATCCCCTTACTCTCGTCCCCTCCTCCCCCCTTCAACCCCCCCCCCCAAACTAGCCCATTCAGCTCCTGCCAGCACCCTCTTGGATATACCCCTTTAAGTGCGACAACTTCGCTTTCTCCGAGAAGCGGTGAACACATGGATGTACGGTAGGGTCAAGTTCATTTCATAAAAATGGAACAGCAACTAAATTATTGTTATTTTTATTATCAATAGGCCTATAGTCTTTTGAAAATATATTTTATTTCATATTGTAATTTTATTAGATGTTTTTTGAAACCCATGAAAAGCTAACACAATTATTATTGTTCCGTTTTTCGGACTTACAGAAACTCATTGCGTTATATTTACCTCATTAAATGCAGGCATAGATGGTAAGACTCGATTTGAGTTGGACTTTACAGCCTATGATTTGTGTGTGCGTTCGTGCGTGTGTGCGTTCGTGCGTGTGTGTGTGTGTGTGTGTGTGTGTGTGTGTGTGTGTGTGTGTGTGTGTGTGTGTGTGTGTGTGTGTCTGTGTAAACCGTGTTGCCCTCAGGACAAGCAGCGGCCAGCAGCTGTTTGACGCATGCACGGAGCCTCCACCGGCAGAGTCCGTACTGGGGAGAAGTCCAGGCTTTTCTTTTCTTTCCTTTCTTTCTTTCAACCAATGTTCCATTTATGTTCGCTGCAGGAGCTGCTGTAACCGCCTAACGCTGAGCCCAGATCACCTGAAGGGAATCCGAACAGACTGCAGACTTTCTTTTTGTAGGTGTGACTTTCACTTTGCACCTGTTTGTTCGTTCGTTTGTTTGCTGCAGGAGGTGATGGTCTCCATCCGTACGTCCAGCTGTGTGGTGTAGCTCGGATAATTACAGGTAATATGTATTTTTAACTGTCTTATTTATATACATTTTTTATTATAGATACAGAAATCGTACACGTAAATAATTCCACAGCATATTTTGTTGTCATATTTTTTTGTTTGTAAGTCAATTTACAGAACTTAATTCGTTAACTTTTAAATAGCTTACAGTTCCAGTTAATGTGATTTCAACTTTTTAAATTGTGCATAATTGTATCATTATTATTTGTATTATTATCATTATACTAATTATTGCTATCACGTGTAATAATTCTGTTTCGTTTTATTGAAAGCCTAACCGACATTAGAAGCAAATAAAGAAGGATGGATAAAAGCTTAGATATTAAAATGTATTTGTGGTTTAATTAATTATAAAACAATTGATACAGCAATGTTTAACTGTTGTTGTTTGGCTGCTTGTCATATTCCTGTAGTGTTTTGGCCTGTAGCCTACATGTCAGATGGGAATGGTTTCCATCTAGTTTGGCTGAATAAAGGCAGCTCTATGTTGGAGTCTATTAAAGATTCGTGCTGATGGAGACACTGCAGACTGCTGGGAGATCAATTGATGCACACTTAGCAAACTTATACTGTAAATTCGTCATACAGTCTAACATATATTTGATCTGATGTATTGTTATTATTATTCATATTATCATTAATATTATTATTATTATATTTTTGCATATAATATTGCAGTGAATCGCTTGATCTTTTTTCTTGTGTCGTCGTTAACCCGCAGCTTGTTGCTCATTATAATGCATAAATGCAACAACAATTGATTTAAATAAAGGCTCGAGTTCATCAAACACGTCCCAGGCGGGATGTTTTCCCATGAGTTGGAGTGAAATGAATCATTAATCAATAATAATCAGCAGTAATTAGCATTCATTATTTGTATATTAGGGAGTTTGTCTTGGCATCATGAGGCGAGAAGGTTCATTTTATTGGCTTTACGGAATGCAGGGAAGCGTGTTAAGTGCGCATTCAATCCCACAGGGACTGTGAAGTGTCAGGAGGTCACCGTGGCCACCGTGTTACGGACCTTTACATTTTCTTTCTAAAACCACTGTATAAAATGGCTGTAACTATATTAATTGTGCATACAGAATCAACAGTTGCATCTTTTAGACACAAGCTCTGCGGCCTTGAATGCAGCAGAGGTGGGTGTGCCAAAAAAGGAGAGACAAATCGATAAAGAAGTAATAAATGATGTGAATAACAGTGGTGTACAAAGGTTTTGTTTATTCCCTGGTGTCTGAAAAAAGCGGGGGAGCATGGCGACAAGTTATCAATAATCCATCGTCTGTATCGATTGGCTCTATTGATGCTGCGTCCTGCATCCAGACTCAATGAAAGGAAAACTGAAACAAGGCATTCAGCACAACTTTCCCCGGTTTGTGAATAGTAATTCCATCAGCCACTCGAGACAGTTAAGGCTTTAGCATATTTCTGCACATCGGGTTGGACAACTGATTTCACATGGTGCAACGCCTTTTTAAAGTAGCAATTAACTGCGATTACGCGCTCAAAGAAAAGTGTTGCTCTTCGACATGGGCCCGTTGGGAAATACTTTTCTGCGTCATTTAAAGGCCGACCTTTAACAGGTTTGTGGAAACGGAGAACGGCTGCGCAGGAAAAGCTTGCGTTTTGGGGGACTTGCTTTCCACAGTGTGGATTTCTTTTTACTCCTTTGTCCTGCGGCTGGAGGGAGCGCGTGAGCTCGTGCACAACCATCCACATTTGGTTTTATTAATCACCTCATCACACTGAGGGGTTTGGAAAGCAGCTCAAACAAGCATGAATAATAAAATAAAAAATATTTATTAAATGAGTAAAACCTTAGCATCCAGTTAAAGAATATGCGGTTAAAGAATATGTGGTAAGTTTGGCATTTTGATTATTTGTAATATTTAACCCTTATTCCTCTAGTTTGCTCAAAAGCGCCCAAAAGTGCAACCTCTGTGGCTGCAAATATACTCACACAGTAGGCCTTTTGTTTATATGCCTAGATGTTGTCTCCACGGCTTCTGTCTCACATAATATAGATCATTTAGGCGTGCACATTTCTCTGTGAACAGAAAGAACGTAATTTGCGTCACTTCGGTTCACTTTCATAACCTCGTCTTGATTAAGCGACGATGTGACCAGTGTGACCGCGCACGCCTAATCGCCCGAGGGCCACAACAGTAGGCCGAATAGATCGAGCTTTCGAGCCGCGAATACCTGCGTGTTTGTTTGTTTGTTGGTTATTACTATTGTGTGATTTTTTCTTAGGCTTAACATGAACAAAAGAAACCGTCGCACAGCCTGGAAAATCGATACTTCTTAAAATGATTCACTTCAAGCCAAAGAGGATACGATAACGGCTACTTTATAGAGATGACATACGTTTTGATTTTTTTTTAAATTCAATGATTTTAGTAGCTATAAAAAGATGTAGGCCTAGATACCTATCACAATAAATACAATATTTCTCGCACCCATCTTTAATAGAGCAGGCGCTGATGATGAGAGATGTGCATGTGTGTGTGTGTGTGTGTGTGTGTGTTTAGGTTGGGGGGAGGGTACATTGGTTTACAACACTGTGGACTGGTGTGGTCAGACTGCGGTGACTGTACACCCCACCCACCCACTCACACACACATAGGCTGCTGAAACTCAAGCTTTATCCACGGTGGAAAAGGCTCCGGGTCAGTGGATTAGACGTTACGCGCAGATAACATCAGCGCACATTAGATATGTGAAATGGAGCTCCTCGCTCTCCTGCCTGCGTATGAGGCGGGCCGCGAGACATCAAACAGCCGCAGTGGGCCCTTTTGTGAGCGCGTGAGCATTGTAAATTTGCGAACTGTCATTCTGCCACAGTCGGTGTAATGGGAGAGTAAACATCGTAACTGCGGCAGGGCAAGGGGACATGGTGAGGCGAGATACAACCAGGTAGACTGCTGAACATGGCATTGCAGTTACACCCACACAGATTTGCCATCTCTAGAATTAAACAAGTTAAATCATATGACAATATCACCTCTATCATTCGAATAGATACAAATAAATTCCATAAGATCTGTAAAGCTTATAAGAAAAAAATCCCAGATTCCCATTCCAAAGTATGGAGCGGCCCTCCACAGCGCGCGGCTCCCTCCTTCCTAATGAAGTCCCCAGAAGCTCACAGTGAAGTTGCCTTTGTAATTATTAGTCATTAATTGGGTTCAAGACCTTGGGCGTCTCTGGGAAATGGGAAATCTGACCGCTAATCCAAGACGTTTCTTTGGGACCTTCAGCAGCGTTGTTAACGTGCTGTCAGAGACAGACGGGCTCTGCGCCACAGCTACTGATAGCACGAATATGAAGGTTAGAGGGCAGCGACTGTACACACACACACACACACACACACACACACACACACACACACACACACACACACACACACACACACACACACACACACACACACACACACTGCAGGAGGTCTGCTGAAGCTAGAAACACATCTGAAGAGCTTAAATTAGAAGAAAATACATTTTTTTTTGTGTTTATCATTGTAATGGAGTGCCTATAAAATTGCCTTAAAAAGTAACCTGATAGCCTTTACTGTAAATTTAAAATACCAACGAAGGCACGACTAAATCTTTTGATTAAAATATCATTACATTTATTTATTATCCACATTACCTTCATTATCCACATTACAAATGAATGGTATTTTTGGGAATTTATATGCGCTATTACCTACAGCATTCGATATCCTCTCAATAGATTATTTTCTATTTTTGTGCCTAGATATATGACACACGTATAGCTGTAAATTGAGCTACAATACCGCTCATCAGCAAAACAAGGTAAATAATTTTGACGTTTTTGCATGAATCCGAGAATCTAAAAAAGTAGTAGGCTATTTATTGATTCTGCATTAAGTATAAAGAGCTGATCACTCTGCTTAAAAAAATGCAACATCTTTTTTAGAAGCAAATATAATTAAAGAGTAACCAGACAGATACCAAAGAATAGCCTCTTTTATTTCCAAATTTAACATCACGGGGTTTAATTCAAAGATTAAAAAAAATTACATGGTCCTATT